ATTTTAATATGTTGTTTTGTTAAATTTATCATTTTATAATACACAAACGATTGAATTTTTAAAAAATATATTAAATAATAAGCGCTACAAACATGTAAAAATATCTATAAATAATTGTTTTCTGTTTGGTTTAAACTCAATTCAATTAATACATCTGTTTATTCAAACATTTGTATATAAATTAAATTACAGTAAATCCATATTTTTTGAACGATTCACTAAAATATAAGCGAAATATTGACCAAAAATTCCCATTTAGTTGCATGAGTTTTAAAATATCAATAATTTATATAAAAACATGAAAAATAAATATTTAAACTTTAGATTATTAGTTAACTGATTGACAAAATCAATGCATCGCAAAGATATACAATATTTGTGCGCTTTAAACAACTTTTGAGGCTTAACTGTTAATTTGCGAAAACATTTTCAACTCTAATATAGTCTTAATTGAAACAAAACTAATCCAAATTTGGATAATATATCAGAAATCACTCCCTAGTTTAGTTACAAGGTATGATTAATATTTACTTAAATGTTTAAAACATCGTTTTCAGGCAATTCGTCGGTTAAACACAAGTAAACGTTAATTTTGAACTAAAACTCATTGACAAACCGCTAATACATGTAATAAATGTATCGCAACAAAACATTGTTTAATATTTTTGAAACGTTTTTCGCGAATTTTTAATACTTTATATACAAAATTGTTTACTATTTATTTTAGTCCTTTAGCCTCTCTTTAATTAATTACCAAAAGGAATATCAATACAAAGTTATATCAGCTATTTATACACGACTCGCAAATCCTATGAACACACTCCATGTCCAATGAGTTCAACATTTGTCTCAAACGGTGAATGAAATGTCAAACTTAAAGGGGATTTAGTTGTCTATCACTATAAGAGTTTGCATTACAAGTAAAAAGCGATAAATTAGTGCTAAAAATAGCGACAAAATGAAAGTACGCTTTCGAGAGTTCAATACATTTCTCTCGATATTATTCACTAATATTAACATTAAATACATTTATACTTATGATTTGATAAATGCATTCAACATTTTATAATAACATTCAGTATTTATCTCTTTTTTAGCGAAAAATTTTTCCGATAATTGTTATCGCATTTCAATTCAAACAAACAATAAGTGAATTCAAAGTCACAAACATTAGTCCAATAAAGACAAGCATTTCTGGCATTATTAATCGACGCTTTCGCTACCGCATACTCTATTACCTGATTGAAACCCGAGAACTCCACAAGCCACTCGAAGCAAACCTAGTGGAGGACCAGCCTGTCGTCCAGGACGCCGAGTAGCCTTTACGCGAGCAATCGGTTCTTTCGCGGCCGAAGACCCACATTAGCGGCAGATATGAAGCCATCGCTTTTGATGGACAGTACGGACTTGTATTTGTCTAACTGGGTCTTCAGCTCCTGGATCTCCTCGTCCCTCTCGCCCAACAGCGCCTTCAACTTCTTCACCTCTTCGTCCTTCAATGTGACCAACACTTGAAGATCCGATTCGTTGACCATCGATGACATGATTAAGTCTTCGCTGATGTGATTGCAGTCGTTATTATAATTAATAAAATATTTCAAACAATAATCATATATAATATAAAAAGCAAAACAAATATAATTGTAATTTAATATTGCATTTGAATGGATCACATGAACCACTGATTGTCACCGGATTTAGACATTTATTTGTGTCTTTGAGTAACGATTAGAGATATGTCGCCGAAGAACACAATGAATGCATTGATTGCTTGATTGCCATCACATTAGTTGCCATTAAATCATATGTTTGTCTCTTATCTCTGGCTAATCACATCCAATGAGCCATTCGTACCACCATTGAGGGCATCACAAGATCACTGGATCCGCACATACATCACACACACCATCACTAATGCATTCATGTGTTCAACCGATTGGACACTAATATCGTAAATACAATGCAATTAACGTTCACTTCATATAAACTGAACACTAATTCACGGATCGACGCAAACCTGTCGCCAATTGAGCACAAAAAACATGCAAACCTTGTATACTATTGACTCCAATGTTATTACTGGCAGTCATACCATACAAGCCATACAAACAATCGCTG